TTTCTTTTTTTTTACCGTCACAACTTCTCACTAAACAAAACTAAAATTATTAGTTCGTTCAGTTATTTTTTCCTAATTTCTATATAACAATTTTCTTTATCACCCACGTGCATCGCTGGCTCAACCACAATAGACTCAATGCCATTCAAGCCTTATTTATAATGAAAGTTTTTGTTCTTTCCTAATTGTATTTGTATATGAAGTCTTTTATTTAATATTTAGTCACGTCCTTCTTATATAAATAACCATTTTCACTTAAAAGTTACGCCCCTTGTAGCTTAAATATTTGATTAAAATTAAACTCAAATTCGACAATTAATTTTCACCAACTAAACGGGACAGTAAAACGGAGCAGGAGACTGTCACACTCTGCCCTTGACCCTATCCCGAACCTGTCTTGTTTTGCCTTGCCTTAATCAAGTACGAGAGTAGAGCAAAGCAACAAAAATACCTGAAAAGGTGAGTGACTGGAATGATTGTTCCGACCCTGACTCGCCCTGTTGTCATCTCTAAATTAAACTATTGTTTTGACTCTTAATTCTATTCTACTACTAATCTACGTCAATCAACAAGAATAAGGCACAAATTGAAAGTTATATATCATATAATGTACTAATGCTCTATTTATAATTTATTTTCCTCGCCTTCTGAAAATATCCAACAGGATAGGGATGGTTATGGCTACGCCAGCCCAATCCCGCTCGTTGCCATCCTATGACTGAATAATTTAGTGACTGAACAGAAACTATTTTAAAAATATGGTGACCAATTTGAAATTATATAAAGTTTGGCAACCAACATGATATCTAGAGCAAAGTTACACCATCCCATTTGTGCCTTTTTACCCGATTTTTAATAACAAGAAACTACAAGGATTTAGAGGCCAAAATATCTTGGATCTAGTCAGGGGTAAAGACTAAGAGCATCTTCATAAAATAGTTCCGAATTGTGATTTAAATCTCTAAATTGGTCTAAAACCTCTTCAATAGATATATACAAAGGAAATGTAAAATGCATTTTTGGACATAAATAAGAGACAAAAAGTAAATTTAGATCTTATAATTAGGGCAAAATTTAAATTTATATCCACTAGAATGTAAATAAAGATGCAAGAGTATTTTTAAAAATATCAATTTACACTCAAATTTACTCCACCAAAGATACTCTGACGTTCAGACCTTGACACTAGTTCAAGTAGAAGTGTAAGTAAAACATGCCCGACAACGATGCTTTTTTTTTTTTGGAGGGCCGGTGAGGGTTTATCGCGGACTATAAGCCGTTTTACTAAAATTATTCAACCACCTGACCGTAGCCACATGTTTTAGGGCATATTTTTTCTAAAATTTTTTACCCTGTAGTTTTTTGCTCAAATGGTTTTCATATTTTCCCACGAAATTAGGTTAGGGAATTTTGTTTGTAAAGTTGTTGATAAAGCATATAAATTAAGAGGCGTTGAATTTAATTGAGAAAAATACTAAATTAAGGTGCTTCGGCCATATTTTTATGGTGTGTTGCATTCAAAAATTTCACCTTTGTAAATTTATTTTTTCACTTTTTATTTTTTTGGCATTATCACGCTTGATATCAGCATACCGTGTGACGTGGTACTCTTTTATGCGTACTGATTTTATGAATAGCCAGATATTAAGGGAGCCTAAGAAAGTTTTTAAATTTTTTATGAGACTGTAAATGAAAATTATCTATATGATTGATTGTAGGGCATACAACGTAATCTTTGAAGTTAGAGAGGCAAAAGAGGAGTTGTTAGAAATTTTGATGAGTGAAAGTGCATTAGAGCGACGTAGATCAGGTTCTACTATTTTCACGTTTAGAGTTCTAAATTTACCATCACGTAAAAAGTTTGCTATCATTCTTCCTTTCATGTGCATTAACTTTCTCTTCGTGTTTAGGTTTGGGTGTTGAGTAGATCAGTCCGGATATTTCAATATTCGGAATCACCCATTAGACTTTTGATATTTTGTAAATGAAACAATTTGTGTCCATGTAATTATGGAAACAAAATCCAAACCTGAATCGGTTTCAATTTGGGTTAGGTTCTTCCTATACACACACACATTAATAAATATTTTCATATAAGTACTTCCAATATGTATACTTTACACGCTATTACTCGACAATATTTGTGAATTGGAGAAAATCTAGCTAAGAGATATACAAGAAGCTGAAATTCAGCTACATGATTCAAAATAGTGAAAACTAAAATCACGAAAATATGAGAAAATTAAATTATAATTTAAGAAAAATGATTTTTTCTTAATAAATCTTATTTGATCCATAAATGAAGCATGCTGAAGCCTGTAATTCAAGTATAGATAATGCTTAAATTCTTCTAAAATTAAAACCAATAGACATTAAAAATACTACTTAGATAAATAACTATATAGTACAAAGAAATTGCAGTCAACGTATTGAACTTGATCTATTTGAGTTAAAAATGAAAAAAAAAAAATATTTCAAAAGAGAAACATGAACTCAAGCCAAAAGGGTACACCATAGCCCAAACTATAAATATATTAAGTTCAGTTGTCACGGCTTATAAAAAAATTTAAAAATCACATAAATTTGTAATAATGCAAGAAAATAAAAAGCTCGAATCGCAAAGAATGAACACTTTAATTCATTAACTTATAATACTGATCCTAGTTTTGACTTTTTCATTCATCAAAAGCTCAAATTACAAAGATTAATGTGTACCGACCTCTAAAATGCAACAATTTGATGTGAGATAAGAGACAAAAAGGTAGAATCCAAATATATTTCTTAGTCTCTAGAATCTTAGACAAATTACTATCCAAATTAGAGTTTTTTTGTTTTGTATTTTTTCACCCGGTCTATAAATTGTGTAAAAAATAATAATAATAATAATAATTATTATATAAAAAATTGGTTCCATTCGGATATCAACAGTTCTAGTTTAGGAACCAAGAACCAACCCGGAGGCAGTTAGTTCTCGGTTACTAGTTATTATTATTATTATTATTTGAAATCTGACCAGAACCTTTGGCTTCGATTAAAATGCATAGGTCTAGTTGTGTTGGAAACAGAATATATCAATGGAAAATACTTGTTGAAAATATGGACATTACACGGAAGGAAAACCTTATCAGAAGATTGAAGCTCAATATTAAGCTCTGTTAAGACAAGGCAGTAATTTTATAGAGAAGTGCAAGGAAAAATGTAGTTGTTTTGAAAATTCAATAGAGTTTACTGAAGTGACTTTCATTTGTAGTTCATGATTATTTTATCTTACACTTCATTTTTTTTTCTTAAATGTACTAAAAATGAATTACCCTAAAAGCAAAAATTTAGCACCTGTTTGATATTAATTCTATAAAAATTATTTAAATTATTATGACATAGTGGGTTGCAAAATGCAGTGTATTTAGAACAGAAGTAGTGACTATCACAAGGTAATATGAGTTTTTCGATTGCGTTCTTTTGAAGAAAGACTAGACAAGATAGATTTTCTAATCCATACAAAATAATCTATGGGATTAAATTAAGTGGAGAGATTATTTTAGGGTAACCTGTAAAATGTCACAGGGTTGGCCTATCAATGGCTGACAGGTTTAATTTCAAGTCATGGATTATGAGTAGAAACAAATGCATGGATGAAAAAGTTCAAGAGGAGAGTAGGTCCAAAGTCTATAGATAAGGTTTAATTTGGTGAGTCTGTGTCGTAATCTGTGAAGAAATCAAGACTCGTGTCCTTTTCTTGCAACACTTTCTTGTCATCTTACTTCCATCCCATGGAATTCTTTTGTCAAAGGTAAATTTCTATTCTTCCATCTTTTTTAACTTCTAATACCCTCATTTTGCTCTCAAATAGGACGTTTGTTGTTTGGAAAACGTTTTTAAACGGTTTATAGTATAGATAGATAGAAATAAGTGATAGATAAGTTGATAGTACTCATAAGTCTCAAAAAATGTGTTGATAAAAAGTGATTTGATCGATTATAAATTGTTTATCAACGTTAGCCAAACATTGTTGCACCTTAACCTGTATGTGTTTAAAACTCATGTTCTTGCTAGTAAATGATGTCAATATGTGTTACAAGCATCATTATGAAAGAGATACATTAGTATGTTGCATTGTAGTTTGGGATTTAAGATGGATGAAAAATGCATCTTTTTTTAATACGTATTTAAAAGCGTGTATTTAATAATAAACTAACACTTGTCATGTCCAATACAAGTGCAACTTTCCCTCTCGTGTTTAATAATTGCGTATACATGTTTGATCCCATTTTTTAAAATTTATTTTTTTCTCCTAATTCATTTTAAAATACACATTTTATAAGATTTACTATTCTTATCAATATTTCGATTGTGCATCGCATTAACTTCTATCAAAATTTACTAAATCTATTTTTAGTCTAAACTAAACCGGGCCGCAATATGATCAATGTACAACACAAGTATGAGTGGTTTGATTTCATTGCTATTTAGCTAGATTTGAAACATTTATTGCAGGGCAAAAAGGTCTTTACGTGCCACTGTGCCAGAGTACATCAAAGTTTGATGATCAATGCACGTAAATGTTTCATTGATTTTCCATCTTCAAGTCAGGTTCATTAAAGATCCAATTCCCAAAGAATTTGGAAACTATAGCCAACACAATTAAGATGCTTTGCTAAGCATGTTAGAAGTACATCACATTTGGGTCTTTTTCATATTTCTCGACTTTTTTTAGATAGAAATTTTGCTAAATTCATGTAAAAACATTCTCAATCTCATGGTCCGTGGCATGAACGAATGAAGAAATCAATCAAAAAATCGAACGATCGAGCTAGACCCTTTCAAAATAACTGTAGTTGGCTGCAAAAAAGTGAAAAGTAGCTTAAAAGCTCAACTAATGGGCCAAAATTTATTTTTAACTACTTTTTAAAATCAAGATCTTTCTTGACACTATAATATTTCATTAAACAAACAAAAAAAAATTCAATAAAATGCTCAACAGAGATATTTATACACTGCTAGCTAGGACACAAGTTAATACATAAAAGTTAAAGTCAACAATCCAAAAGAAACAAATATAATTAAAAAAGAGAAAATGACTTGTTTTCTCTAGGTGATTGAACTGGAAACAATGGCAAAAGCTCCGGTGGTTCAGACCCTCTTGGAGTGCTCAATGGGCTTGGGTGCAAATAAAACCTCTTCTCTGCAATGGCTCTTTCTTCTTCCTCCATAGGAGACCTCGGCGTCCTTGGACTCCCACGCCCAAAAAGATCCAATGGCGAAACCGGCGAAACCATTAACATTTCGCCATTAAACCCCAAAAAATTCCTTTGATGACATCTTGCAGTAGAAGGTGAAACCATTGAGTTTGAACTGGCGGTGCCGCCAAGCTTGATTTCTAGCTTTCTTGCAGATTGTCTCCTTTCATGAAGTTTGAAGGCTGGCTTCCGAGGACCCATTTCTCCGGGGATGGGTTTTCCGGTGAAGCGAGAGGGGGTGGTGGATGGGAGTTTCTGTGCTGCAGAGTCTGGGGTGGTGGTGGTGGTAGTGCCGGTGAGTTTTTGAACGACGGCACGGAATGTTGAAGGGTCGGCTTGAACAAAAGTGGTGTTGGGGATTGTATTTGGATCGAAACCATTTGGAAATGCTACGAATTGTACGCTGGAATTGGGAATTTCTTTAGCATTGTGATTATAAGAAGATGAAGAAGCCATGAGAGAGAATGAGAGATGAAAATAGTGAACAGAAACAGAAAACAGGGATCAAACGAGGTGTTTATATAGAATTAAAAGAGAAAAGTGCATCGAGGGATGGAAAATGTCAGATAGTAAAGGAGCCGAAAAGCTTAACCACCTGAATAGTGAATATACAGCCTTGATATTTCCACTTCACCTAGGCTAGTTCCACGCAAATTAAAATTTGGAGCACGGGATCTTGTCCGCACATCGTAAATGGACGTTTACAGGAAGAAGAATCATATTCCGAATGTCCGATCCAAGTGTGTGTAAGTTGTATCCGCATGCAAATTTACCTGGTGGCGAACCAGGGGGAAGACTACCACTTCTCAGGATTAGTCAGGCGAAACTTGGACATTTGAATTATCAAAAAAAATAAATTTTGGCGTACGGGGTATGATTTTCCTAGCCAATGTAATTTCCTTTTGGGTCGATTGTGGACGAAGAGAGATTTGAATTCTTAATACTATCATGATTTGTAATCACGTATTTTAATCCTTTGAGTTACAATTTTCATCCTGTTTTCTCCGAATTTGTTTTTTTGGAGTACCCTAAAAAAGGTACATTTCCCCACCTCAATCTTTTTTTCTTTTTTTGGATTAAGAAATGTGAAAGCACATTTACTATTTCTATAAGATGTGTTCTGATGAGTATGACGATGTTACTCGTGTCTCATTCTTTTAAGTTTGTATTTCTTTATTGTTTATAAAATAAACGATATTTCACATGTATCGTTGTTTGACTAAGAAGTGGCAAATTTTCTATGTGATCTTCCACTCGTACCATCATGTTTGTTCCGGTCCATCCGGCATCTGCAGTTGGAGCAATAGAGGATCTCCAAGAAATTATTCATATTATGTTATATATTACATCTAAAAAAATAAATACCAATTGAAAAATGTGAGGAAAACAATTTACTTTTTAAATTTAAATGTATTTTCAATTATTTTTCAAGATTCTCTTTCAAAATAAAGGGTTTCACGAAAATGCTATTAAGAAGTAGGATTGAAGCACGAAGATATTGGTGAACTATAAGCGTTTTTTAAAATATATTTATTTTCAGTGTTAATTAGAATTAGTATTGTAATTACCTCTTTATTAAATTCTCTAGTCACGAATATTAATTGTAATGTTATGACCATAAAAATGTACAAACTAGATAACCATTATTGCTTAGTAGGATGACATATCAATTGAACAAATTTAGTGTTGAGAAAAATGTAGGGAATCTGAAAATTTAATGAATTCCAAGGCACGAAAAACGTTTTCTTTTAAGAGATATTTCTCCCATATCCAACAAAATCACAACTGGGGTATGATAGAAAATCTCTCTTAGGATACAACGGAGACATTTGATTCAAATTGTGACTATTTGATCAAATCAAGAAAACACTCGAAAAGAACTGATGATGCCAAGAGAAAAAGAGAAGAATAATTTTTTTTAATGTATTTTGCAAACGAGAATTCGCCCAGAATTTATAGAAATTGAGGCAGCCGTTAAAATAGGTGTGTCCCTTGAAATCTTTGCTTACATCTGTTGGAAGTGACTATTAAAAACGAACAGATGCACATATTCAAAAACTTTTGAAAATAAAATTCTCTTTCGGGGGGCACTGCCCCCTCGACCTCCGCGACCTGACCGGGCAGGTCGATCCCCATTGCACAGCGGCAAACACTAGTCGGTGTGGCAAATCATTTGCAAAATAAAAAATAAATACATGCAAAATGATGAAAAATATCTAACATATCCCCCCTTGTTTGTGCCCCCATTATTCGTGAATAATATATTATGGAATAGTGATTGATGTTGAAATGTATGGTTAAAAAAGAAGGAAATTTTTTTTATGTATGTGCAATATTATTTTAACGAAGAATGTATGGTTAAAAATGAGTACTGTAGAAAAAATAATGTGATAGAATGTGAAAAATGGTAAACAAATAAAGCCTTAATTTTATTCGGAAATCCATCATAATTTATCCACTAATTAATTGACTTGTCATATCAATGTATTTTTGCATAAAGTAAGAACTTTATCATCTCTTATAAAACGTTTGTCAAATTCCAGAAGCATTGAGGTTTGCTCACTAGCTTTTAAATTTCCGCCACAAGGAAAAATAGAAATAGAAATTAGCTTATATTCAAACATAATTTTTAGAATTATGATACACATACATTTATTTTTACACTATTTTTGACAACTCTCTCACATCACACGAGTGGATCCCGTGATTAAAATAATCGTGAAACCCACTCGTGTGAGTGAACTATCAAAATCAGTATACGCTCAACATAATTCTTATTTTTATACATATATTTTGTAGAAATCACAATTAATATTCACTAATTATCTCGGAGACAATTTATCATCGCTTGAATTTTAGTATGCTATACCAAACATGATTAAAGTAAAACGCTAGGATCACAAATTCCTCCAAATACATTATACATAAGATTCGTCGTGGACTGGAAATAGTAATAGATTTTAAAAAATTCAAAAAGTAATTTCGAAAGAAAAAGGAAGTGAAAAAGTGAAAATAGTAATAAATAATGAGAGAGCTGGCAATGAATGATATAACTCATAACGGGACATTGAAACGGGAAACGAGTACTGTTTTCCTACCCTTGTCAGTAAATAATACAAATGAAATTATTTTCTGACCATTTTAATTTTAATTTACTATTTTACCCTTCTAAAATTTTAATTTAGCTAAAAAAAAATAATCAAATTTTTAGTAGATTTTAATACAAAATAATGAAATATATTGTTGAAAAGTTAATTTATGTTTGATCATGTTTATAAACATTCATACCATTTTTTATGTACACATTTTGATGGACTTAGAATTTGTATAAGATTTATAGCCAAAGTTTATTTTTCATTATTTGCCCATTAAAATGAAAAATATGATCGTTATCTATCATATTGAGCCACCATATTTGACTTTCTATCTCTTGTGTAAGGTTCGTAATAACTATATTTTTCATTCTCATTTTTACATTAATGTGTACCAAACGGGACCATAATATATTTTGCACAGGATTTTCTTATCAGACACTTCAATTTGGATTTTCCGGGTTACATGATTTCCTCTCTATACAAGACGTATACACTTTTTGAATCCTTTTTATGTTGTAGATTGGGATTATTTTTTTTTATTTTTTATTTTTACAAGGTGTCCAATTCTTGACTAATCCTTGGGTCTGTGATCCGGCCCCTCTTCACACAGTCCAGTTAATCGCGGAATATGCCTCCAACTAGCTAGGGTCCGAGCCTCCCCACCTGATCTGCCAAAGTGCCAAGCAAGCCAATCCAAGTTGCACCTTGCCTTCCAAGAATAATCCTTGCCTTCCAAAAATAAATCCTTGCCTTCCAAGAGCCCCATGAATCGAACTCACGACCTCTGATCTGCCAGGTTTGACAGAGTCCGTCCTTTGCCAGTGGAGAAGTGCCCCGAGGGGCTGTAGATTGGGATTATTTTTGTTCAACGTTAAGATATCGATCTAAGAAAAATATGATCTTTTTAGCACATGTTTGGAATTGTTTGAATTGTAGATTAAGTGGATCAAATCAACTTTTTATCCATACATTTTAAGTGATCCATAACTAATACTCACTTATTCACTAATCATTTTATTATCCCTTGTTTGAGCCCTATTTTGGAGGAAAGAATGAATTTTTGAATAGTTTATTGATGAAAAATAAGTGGTTAAAAAATTAGAAAAAATTTTGGATTTGTGTTCTATTTTATTGAAAAATTTGTAATTGAAATGATGTTAAAACACTGTTGAAAAATTCACTTTTTTTCCCAAAGAATGGGCCTCGGACAAGGACTTAATTCATAATTCAAACAACTTATAAGCCATCCCAAACAAGCTCTTATAAATATAGTGTAATTTCCCCATATAACTATCAACTTCCTTTTAGTAATAATTTTCTCTATTCAAATTTGAAAGAAGAAGAAGTAAACCCACAGGATTGGTGCAGTTACTTTTTCCCCTTAGTTTGCGTGGGGGAAAGAAGTTTGACACAGAGAAAAGTCTGGTTACATTTTAAGGCTTTGTTTGTTAGTGAATTGTATGTATACTTTTTCTTGCTTTGCTTCTTTCAGTTACTTTGTTCAGATTCTTTTGCTTTTCTTTTCAGAATTTCTCTTTCCTTGTTAAGGCGGGACACTTCTTTTTTTTTCTTCTCCTTTTTCACACATAAATTTATGGAAGCTTGTTGGAGAGTTAATTGTTCCAACGGTGATTGAATTTAGGTCCATATTTTTTATTGATTACTAAAATTTAAAATGTTCAATTTTAGTCACTGAACTTAGGTCCATATCTTCGATTGCTAACTGAAGTTTAAAGTATCGAGTTTTAACAACTGAAACTTGAAAAATGTTGTACATTATTCACTGTAAACTTGACATTTTTCAAAGTTTAATATTTATGCTATTGAGTAATGTACAATATTTTCCAAAAGTTCAGTTATCAAAACTAGAAATTTTAAATTTCAATGAGCAATTGAAGACATGGACCTAAATTCAGTTATCAAAATTCGACATTTTAAATTTCAGTGATCAATCAAAGATATGAATCTAAGTTTAGTGACCATTGAAACAATTAATTCCTTGTTGGATTCAATTGTAATATAGGAAGAAAGATCTATATTATAATATATCTGTGGAAGTGAGAACTTTTTCGATTTATATAATTTTTTAATAGACCAGGTCCGGTTTCGAGCAAAAGTCAAACCTAAAAGTGTCAAAAATTATTGAGTTTGGATGACTTGACTTATTTTTACACCTCTTCTTTTAATCTAACAAGACGAAACATTCAATTTTACTTTAGCCATTATTTAATCTCCATATTTTATTTACATTTTTATAGATAACGAGAGATTAAAATGTAAAAACATTTTTTTTTGAATTTACGTGTAAATTTATTTTTTGAGAGAATATATGATTTAAAAGAAGTTTGAGGGGAATAAATTATTTGGTAGAAATTTTTGAGAATCGATTTTGTGGTAATGAGTTCTTTTGGGGATTATGTGGTTAAAAAGTAAGGAAAATTATGGATGATGGATCCATGTATAAAATTATTTTATTTGGAAAATATATGATTGAAAATTGTTTTAAAAAATAAGAGTCAAAAAAGAGCTTGGTTTGTAGTTTGGATTGGGCTTTATATATTGTGCTCTATTAATCTTATTTGTATTTTGTTGAAACACGCATGTTGTGAGTTGTGTCAAAGACGTTTCTTTCCTTATATCAATATAAAAGTTTAGCTAACGAAATGAGATGTATAGAAAAATGGTGGAAGTGAGTCAACATGATCGATCTTTTACATTAAAAGGAAACTTTTGAGTTAAATATTTATTGGATAATATAAGTT